ACCAAGAAGCAGCTGGTTCTTCCACATGCAGGGGAGGCCCTGTATTCCATCCACACACCTGGCACAGGCTTGCCCTGCTGAAAATCCCCCTCTGGGTCCTGCAGCCCTGGCCCTTATCTGGGCCCAGTGACCTTCACAAGCTTCTCCCTAATTCACCTTCCACGGAGGCCACAGTGGAATCTGGGGGTGCCCTGACTCTAGCTGGGACCCACCCCCCTTCTTCCCACTGCTCCCTTTGTAAGTCCCACCCATGGGCCTCCCTTCCTGCAACAGCCTTCCCGGCACCACGCAGGGTCAGGCCTAAGGGCACCCCTGCGCCTGCCTCCAGGCTTTACAGTCCATGGAAACAAATAGCAAGGAGTCTCCTGCTCTTGGAGACACAGCATTGACATTCTGTGCACGGAACCTACCAGTGTTTAATGAGAAGAGGTCTATCCTGGCGCCACAGGACTCTCCTGTGGAGAGCTGGCTGTTGGGCACTAACTGGATGTCTCCAAAGCAAAGCAGCCATGGGCTGCAGTGGGTCTTCAAGGGATATCTACAGGGTGGACACACTGACGTGTCCAGAGGAATAGTCTGGCGCACAGCAGAGGTGAGAGCCCCGCCGGTGGGGGCTGCACCCTCTCATCCACACCCCTGGGTACCCATACCCATCATTCAGCAGGAGGTGGAACTCACGGGCCGCTAGCAGCTCCTCAGCACCAGCCATTCAGGTGACAGGAGCGTCTTCAGATTTCTGGCCTTTTCCCATCATGAGACAGACTCCCTGCTAAGCACCCAAAACCGAGAGACAGAGTGGAGCCCTGGTCAAAAAGCTCACCAGCCGCCCAGCTCTGCCTCAGCCCTCACAGTGCGGAGGAATGAGGGGCCTTCTGGTGGGTCACTGCCAGTGCGGAGAGAACGCCAACCCCGATGCAATGGCATGGGAAGCGGGGCAGTGCTCCGGAGCGCTCCGGCTCTCCGCAGCCAGCCTGCCTGCTGTGTTTGCACACTTCCTCCCCATGCCAGGCCAGCCACTGCACTTCCATCCCACGTGTTCTCCAGAGAACCTACACGTGTGAACCAGGAAAGGGAGGCAGGCGCTGCAGCCAGGACAGTGCTTTGGCCTCAACACAGACACGATCTAGTTCTCATACTGCTGGAGAATGAACGGCTCCCACACCCGGGCTGGACAGTCACCCGCAGGAGGTGCCAGGTCCCCAGGGAGCCCTGTGGTCGTGTCCCACGCTCCTCTGGACACGCCACCTTCCTAGCCCAGGTCTGCAGTCTGGGGCTTGTCTCCCACCCCCAAGGTCGGAGGTCATGGCCACAGGGAGGCCTTTAGGCGGAGGCAGAGCAGCCAGAGGGGCCGGGGCCTGGCGTCCAGACCAGCAGCCTGGCTCCACGCTCCACGTCCGCCTCTGCCGGACTCTGTGCAGCAGGCCCTCCCCAGCATAAAACATTCATCAAGAAAAACTCCACACAGCGACGCTGCCTTCCGTGTCAGCCAGGCCCCGGGGATGGGAGCTAAAAATAGGTGGCTCAGAAATTGCTGACAGTGGCGGGGGGCCGAGAGGGGTGGGCTGGGCCCTCACCACGCACATGCACGTAGGCCGCGAGGAACACACGGCACAGACGAGGCTCACGTGGGTGGTCCCCGGGGAGCACGATGGAGGCCTGGCTGGAAGCGAAAACCCTCTCTGGGGAGTCTGCCTACCCTCCCTGCCAGAGGCTATTTTTATCAACACAGGGGGCCCAGGACACCTCAGTGAAGAATCAAAGGCCATCTTTAATTGGCAAGAAATACCAGCTGGGATCAACAGCAGGCCAGTAGGAAGATGAAGCCATTGCTAACCACCAGCCCTTCAAACCTGGGGGCTTCAGTCACTGTCCCCTCCACTCAAGCAGGTGTCATTCCGCCTCACCCCTCTGCTGCCCCTCCTGAGCCTCAGATCCCCCCTACCTCACTGCCACAGTTTTCTGCTTAGGCTGGAGATATGAAGATGGAGGGTCCTTGGCTCTGGCCACCCCACTGGAGCCTGGGGGCTGGGGAGGAGAGGTCAAGGACTTGTCTGTATGAGGTGGGACTCAGCATCTAGGATGGAGATGCGGGCAGCCTCGCCGATAGGTGCCCCCAGGGGAACTGTGACATGGAAAGAGATGGGACAAGGGTCCAGAAGAGAACTAAGAAAAGCCGGCCTTTGAGGGCCAGAGGAACAGGCCAGGTGCTGAGAAGAAGCGGTCCAAGACCCTGAGGCCCGTGGCTGCCAGGGTCCTCGCCTGGAAGGTCAGGGGAATGTATGTGCACAGCCCAGGGGACAGGGTCGGGGTGGAGCCCTCTGCCAAAGAGACAGGTCTGGGAGGCTCCCCTGGAGCATGTCAGGAGTGCTGTGCGGGGCTCCCCACCGGGAGAGGGGCGAGGGTGCATAACCACAGGGGGTGCTGGGTGGGAGACGGGGGTGGGGGGCAAGGTTCTGAGCCAGACCTGAGGTGGGCTGTCCAGCTTGCAGCAGGCTCTGGGCTGGAACACTTGGATGGATGGGAGGCTGCTCACAGAGGAACCCCAAAAGACCCAAGTCCAGTAGGCCCAGTCAGGGGCAGGGTGCAGAGTCCTCCATGGGGAGAGGGCAGGCTCACGGGAAAGAGCATGGGCCACCTGCTGAGGAGGGCGCCCCACCTGGCTCTCTGCTTTTTTCCTTTCAACCTGGCTGAACCCTGTGAACCCCATTATCCTGTGCGCAGCCCCCACCCCGTCACCCAATGACATCTCATGATCTACCACCTGACTCACTGGACCCCCAAGAGCAGAATCCAACCCCAGCAAAAAGTGAATGGAGGGAAGGGGCCACGGGAGGTGAACCAGGAGAGGCCCTGCTGCCACGTCAGGGGCCTCACCATGGGGGTCTTGGCGAGGCCTGATAGCTTCCCCACCAAGCCTGGGCGCTGCCCCCACATGGCCTGTGAGACCCACGAGTGAAGGGGCAGGCGTGGGAAAGTGGCTCCAAGCAGGGGCCCCAGCCAGCCATGGGGCCACCGTCAGCCACAGGAGGAAGCTGGCGGGGCCTCGTTCCCGTAGGCACGTAGAACTGCCCCCGTGACAGACACAGGCCAGCGCAGGGAGAGTCAGCAGCAGGCTGGACAGAGGCTTTGCCCACACGTGGCACTAGGTCCAAACCTGGGCTCCCAGGACTAGTCGCAGGCTTCCCCCAAGTGCCTCAGTGTGTAACAGGGCCTGGGACAGGGCCGGGCAGTGGGTCCCGGCCCCCAGGCAGAGTCCTGGCTGGAGGGCTCCGGGGGGGGCACTCACTCTCCCGCGTTGGTGAAATTCTGGGGCTTACTGGAAACCGCCGTCAGCCTCAAGAAATCTGGAGTTCCTTCGCTGTCCCTTCATGCATTCACTACACAAAGAGAGAGCACCTCCAGGCCACACCACCAGCGTCCCTGCTCCCCGCCGGAACCTGACTGCCACCGGCCTCCCGACTCTCAGCTACCCGCCTTGGCCAGCACCTGCTAAGTTGTTGGGATTCCAGCTCCGTCTCTGGGACCTCTCAATAACGCCCCTGGCCCATGCGCCTTCCTGGGGGGCCCTGCCCACTCCCCAGGACCGCCTGTAAGCCTCCCCCCAGCCTGAGAGCCACCCACCAGCACCCACCCCCTGCTCCTTCCACTGCCCACAGCCTGTCTCTCTTCCCTATCTCAGCTTCATGCTCGAGGGAGGCAGGCCTCGCACACAGTAGGATTCACGTACTGTACATAGCACCCACTAGATGCCAATGCCGTTCCCGGCCCTAGGGATCCACTAGGAGCAAACAGGCTCCTGTCCTCACTGAGCTCAGTCAGTGGGGCAGCCGGGACGGTGGGCATGTGACCATCAAGGCTAAGTCAGGACGGGCGGTGGTGCTCTGGAGAAAGGCAGGGCAGGTGGGGACTGGGGGGCTGGGGGCACGCTGGGCGGGGTGTCAGGGGCGCCTCCTCCGAGGCGACTTCGGGCCCACACCTGGAGATGAAGGCTCAGCCTGAACGTGGCCCAGAAGCCTGTATGGGGATACAGCCGGGTGAGGTGGGGGCAGCGGCACCCCAAGGCACGGGCAAGAACTTGGATTTTTTTCTAAATGCACCACAATGCCAGAAGCTTTTGGTAGGGAAGTGACAAAATCCCAACACTTGGAAAAGATCGCTGTGGTGCCGAGGATTGTGTGCGTGTGCGTGGGGGGGACCAGGGGGAGGCCAGGTGGCTCCAGGTGCCGTCAGGGACCTGGGCCAGGAGGGACGCAGTGCCCCCAGGAGCGGGCAGGGGTGGTGAGAGGGGTGGAGCCCAGGAAGTCTCTGGGGACTGTGGCCTTGAGCACTGGGGAACATGGGTGTGTTCTGAGTTAGGATGGGGACTGGAGGCCTGAGGGAGGGAGGTCATTGAAGGTTCAGGAATCCAAGCTTTCATTTCCAAATTAAGAAATGCTAGGAGGCCACACCCTTGGACCACCAAACAGCAGCCCATGGAACTGTGTTCATCTTAGACCTCAGGCTACGGAGCCCTGGGTGGTGGCTGTCACCCTCCAGGGTCTCTGCCTGGGCAGACACCCCAAGTTCTGCTCACAGCTAATGCTCAGGGGACATGGGCTTATGGTGGCAAAGGCTGTGTGGCCTGGTGCCCACGCCTCCCCCTGCACACCCAGGCAGAGCCCACCAGTGAGAGGCAGTGTCTTAAACTCCTGCACCGTCAGGAATCACAGGGCACCACCCTCACCCTCAAGAGGGTGTCCCCATAGGGAGGAGCTTGCACAGGGCTCTCTCTCTTGTCCTGTGTACCCAGTCCCAGCCCCACTGTCCACAGGAGAGGACACCACAGCCAAGGTCGCGGGTCCAGAGAGTGGCCAGGCCTTGGCCCCATCTGACCCCTCGGAGGCTGAGTAGGGCCCAGCTCCCAGAATAGGCTCATGTGACTCAGTTTCTCCTGTTAGTCAAGCAAGTACTGACTGGGCGAGCCCAGTGAGGAGGGAGGGTGGCCTTCCCGGGACACTCACCACAAGCTGGGGCACAGGCAGCGACCTGCCCTCCTGGTTCAGGGACACGTATGTGAAGAAGGCACTGGCTGCCCGGTAGCGCTTCTGCGAGTTGTCCACCACGGGGTCGGCGTCCACCAAGACCTCAATTTCCATGGACTTATTGCTCGTGAAGGTCATGCGCCCAGAGATGGTGATGACACAGCCTGCGGGGCAGGACAGTGAGTTAGCTAAGGGTGCCTGACAGAGGGCCAGGCTGGCAGGGGTGCAGAGAGCAGCATTGCGAGGCCAGGGGACGACACCCGGTTAGACAAGATCATTTAATGACGAGGACAGTGAGGTGACACGAGAGGAAGGTGCCTCGTTAGCAGCCCCTGAACATTTCTCTCTGGTGAGCAGATGTTTACTTTTACCCTGGACATAAATACTTAGAGTTGAAGGGGTCTTGGTGGCCACCACCGAGCCTCCCACCATGGGTGGGTCTCCACCCCGGGGCAGCGGCAGCGTAGGTTGGAAGAACACTTCCAGTTGCTACCGGCCCTCAGGGGCAGGCCCCCAACCTGCTTCCAGATAGCTCCAGGTGGGCTGGCCCCACAGCCTGTAGGGTAGGGTCAAATCTGCCTCCCCCGCTCCCCACAACATTGCTCTGAGCACTGAAGAACCTGCTTCCACCTTCCGGGCCGCCTCCCAGCTCTCTGGCCCCAGCACTCCTGATGCTGGGCGCACAAGCCACCGCCTGCACTTCAGCCTGTGTCCTGTATCCATCCAGTGAGACCAAGTCTGTCCCGTCAGGCTCTCCTCTCTGCCTGTCCTGCCCACAGCGCCAGGGCTCTCCCCTGAGCCGTGGACGTCTGTGGCATGGCTCAGACCCATGCTGTCCTTGGTCAGAGTCCCCAGATGCTCACCCGCTACCTGCCTGTCCCAGCAGTTTCCCTGTTGATTAGGATGAAGTCCAAATTCGTATGTTCCCATAACACTGTCCCAGGTGTTCTTCTCTCTCAGCCCAGCCCAACCTCTCTGAACCCCCCAAGCTCCTGGGCTCATGAATGGCCACCCTGGCAGTTGCTTCCTGGTCTGGAGCATCTCTTATGTCCCCCACTGTCCTTGCAGCGGGTCCCCTCCCACTGCCTGGCCTCGGCCCACCCTTGCTGTGATCCCTTAACCTCACAGAGCCGTTTCCACCATAAGCAGACATGAGTGACCCCAGGAGGCAGCTATGGGGACGGTAGGCAATGAGGCAGGGGCTCAGGGACTGAGCCTCATGCACAGTCACCATCCTCACTGACGGGGCTGTTCTGGACCACGGGGCAGCACCAGTATTGGCCATGCCTCCACTGGCATGTGGCCAGATCAGCTCCCCAACTCCCCACCCTCCCACGGCCTCGGTCTGGGTGGGCTCAGGGAACCCCTGCCCAAGCCCGGGATATGAGGCTGGGACCTGCTCCCTGAAGCAACGATGGCCTTTAACAACACAGGAACCCCAATGTCCTAGCCCTGTGGAAACAGGCCCCTCAAAACATGTTTAGAGACCCAGGAAGACAGACAAGGCAGGGCAGTGTGGTGGCTGTTAGGGGTGAGTGTGCGGGCAGGCCAGCAGCAACAGTTATTCCATGTTATAAAGTACTAGAATGTTCCATGCCACATTTAACTGCATACTTACAGGGAGCACTTCCTCTCAGACAGGGCCGTTTCTGGGAGGGAAGGAAGGCCATATGGTCAGCGAAAGTGGCATTACGTGAGTTGTAAGTGCACAGGGCCCCGTGCAGATCAGCACGGCATGCCCAGGGAACAGGAAGCCCACGGGGCACATGTCCCAGCCGGGGAGCAGGAAGGGGCACGGGTCGTCCTTGGGGGGAGTCTCCACAGCACCTCTGCCTGCTCCCCATCAGGCCACCACCCGTGCTGGCTGGCACCTCTCTCACCCATGAATACGTACAAGACTCAAGGGCCGTGAGCTGAGAAGCAGGGATAAACCCTTCCTGCGAGAGGAGCATATGAGAATTGGCTGGCCCCGCGGTGTGGATGGGGGGCCACCCTCAGGGCATTGCTGTGGGGATAGCGAATTTGGGGGCTTTGGACACAGAGCATTTGCTTTAGAGGACAGCTGCATATTCGCCCTACCCGTCTCTCCCCCAGGAGCATCCTCCCCCACACGGCAGACTCACAACTGCTCACGTCTAATTTCTGGGTTAGAAATCTAAAGAAACTTCTAACTTTAACCAAGAAAGAGGAAATAGGTAGAATATGAGCATCAGACACACAACAAAGAAAGAACAGTGATCTGAATGCCATGTGTGGGGTATAAAAACAACAATCGCACCCTAAAAATCAGGGAATCTCAACTGTCACCCAAACCCAGGCCTTTCCACCTTTTAGGGCTCAGGACATCATTATTCTAAAAGCCACACGCTCTAACACTGTGACCATGAGAAGATACTTGAAGGCTGGGATCATATGTGACACTGACACAGCCCAGTTCCAGACACCACCAGGAGAGACCCCAGTGTTTCTAAGGCCCCTTCCTGGCAGAGGGCCTCCCAGTGCTGTGAGCTCAGAAAGCGCGTCCCACATGATCTGGGGTCTGCAGGCAGTTGCTGGCAGGGGGCAGCCACAGGCAACCTGGGGCAGCTCCAGTCTTGTCCAGCCATGTTTGTTACCCAGGAAGGCTCACGCCAAACCCTCCACTCCGGCCTCCAGCTCCCACCAGCCACTGCAACATCGCGGCCACCCTCAGGACGCAAGTGCATGACGCGGCCAGTCATGGTGGGGGTTACCAGTCTTATGGAAGCGAACACTCAGCTCTCCAGATGCGTCCCCCTTTGCCCCTGCGTGCTGGCCTCTCTCTCCCCCTTCCCCTACCTTGCCTGGGCCACCCTCTGCATGGCCCAGGCGCCCTCCTCAGGGAAGCTGTCAGCAGACCTCAGTCCCCATCACTTTTTTTCCAGGGCAGCCCTCCTCTCCTATAGCATTAACTCTGTCGGCACCTGCCATTCGTTGGTGTGTCCATGTGACTTGGCATCTGTCTCCTTCCAGCCTGGAAACCCTGTGAGAGCAAATGCTCTATTGCCCCTGAACCAAAGGGTGGCCCTGTGTGGATGTGAGGATGCCAGGCCGCCAGACTCCTGCTGAACGGGGACCCTCCTGCAGATGCTCACCAACTAGTAATGGGGCTGCCCGCAGGGCCCCAGCAGCCCGGGCCCTCCTGTCACACAGGAGGCCACCAAGCCTTCAGGTCTCAACTCAAATGTCACCATCCAGGTGGCCTGCCTGCTTCCTGCGTCCTGCCAGCTCTTACTTCGTGTCCTCCGTCTGCTGCCTGCCCACGAGAGCAAGGCTGTGCTCACTAGTGTGCCTCAGCCGCCCGGACCACCAGGCACTTGGAGATGAATGAAGGAGAAGAGGACAAGTCTGGGTTCAGAGTGGCCCACACTGCTCTGGGCAGGTGTGGATGTAACTTGTCTGCCCACAGGCACTATGGAAGGCTGGGTGCTCCAAGGAAAGGCTTCCGACAACATCCACTAGGCTGTCCAGAATCCGGGGTGGTCAGGACCGTCCCGATTACAGCAGCAGGCTATTTCTACAAGCCCCATCCCCTCTATCTCCTGTTGCCCAAAGAAGCAGACACTTGCCTGTGGCAGCTGTGAAGCCGGCTGCTTAGCATCCGATGAATCTAGGATCTCATACCATGGCTGCAGCCGGGCTGAGATTGGAGTAGAGCACGTTGAGGCCAAGGGCCAGTGGCAGCCCGCCTGCCGAGGGTGCTGCTTCCATGACCAGTAGGCGTGTGCCCTCCACAGCTCACCAGGCTCTCCCTGACTCATGGCAGCCTCACTGCCCAGGGCACGCAGGGCAGACTAGGGGAGGCAGGGGAGGCACAAACACATTTCCTGCAAACCTGACTTACTGCCCTGGGCTCTCTCCTAGAAAAATGTAACAGATGAATTTTGCTTATGACTTTAGGGGGTCAGTAGACCCCTGAAGTGCCCTGTGGGTCCTAAATGGAAAGCCCGTTTTGAATGACACACATCTTCAGAAAGGTGATCCTGTTCTGTGGCTGAGTGTGCCTGGCACGTGCGACTTTTAGCAGAACAAATGGCATCTGGGCTCTAGGGACCACCCCCCAGAGCTGGCCAGAGGTCACTGGGGAGGGTTCTCCACAGCCAAACCACAGCACCGTGGCCCTGCCCTGAGCAGGCACGCATAGCTGGAAGGTGGTGAGGACAGTGGCCATCATGTGTGGGGCCACTGGTGGACATCGTCAGCCCCATGGCTCAGCTCAGACGGGTGATGCCCTCCCGCCAGCTCCTCACAGCTCTGCTTTGCGCTGCTGTTTCTGTGTCCGAGCCTGGACCAGGTGCCCACAGGCCCTTGTACCACCCGGAGGCTGGGTGAGGCTGAAGGCCCAGTGTGTGACTCCCCCATGGGACGGGGCTCTGACGAAGGCGGAGACCTCATGCGATGGGGTGCCAGACCTTTCTGCCCTCCCCCAAGGCTGGGGGCAGGACCATGGAAGGGTAGGTGTAGGTGGCTCACCTCATGGGTCCCGGGCCTGGGGCCCTTGGGGGTTGTCTGAGGGGGCACCCCCAGCCCAAGCCCAGCCTGCATTCTTGCTCAGTTTGTCTCAGAAACTGCTGACCCACCAGGCTGTGGCAGCCATGTGCTCACAGGCACTCCAGGGGCAGTGGGGACACACTGGGCCTTGGCTGAGCAGCCCAAAGCCCTAAGACCCTGCCCGGCGACTTTGCCACCAGGTCACATGTCCAAATCCACCAGAACACGGTTTGCTTATTTAGGAGCGGTTGCAACGAGCTGAAGGGGGAAAGGGCTCCTCCCCCTGGTGTTAGGTGCCACATGTCCGCCCAGGACAGGCTCCAGGTGTCAGGACCACGCCCCTGGTCCGCGGCAGGGAAGCCAGAGGGGGACAGCACCGCGTTCTCTGAACCTCTGAGGTGGGAACAGCCAGATGAAGCCCTGATTTAGCCAGACATTCCCGACTGTGTCTCCATGAAAGGCAGGCTCTCCAAGGCCCCGGATGGCTCCCAGTTCCCTCACGGTGCCCGGTTTCCTGTCCGCGAGTGGGCACCGCAGCCACCTCCCGGGAGGTCCTGAGGCGCGGGCAGGTAAGGCTGTACACACGGCCAAGCTGCAGTCACTTCCCCACATTAGCCACATCACCTGGTGGGGTCTGAGTGCCCTTCTGCTAACA